AGCTAGCAGAGAACCCGGGCGTCCGGCCCCAGGGGCGAGGCGGGCAGGGAACGGAAGGCCCCGGCCCGTGTGGGGAGAACGAGGCACCTGCGCCCCCACCCACCTCCTACCGCCGCCCCGCGCGCGCCATGGGCGCCGCCATCTTGCCCGAACGGGACAGAGGGGAGGGCCCAGATTGAGGGCAGGGGGCGGGGCCAACGTGGGGGCGTGGTTTGACAGAAAGGGGTGGGCCTATTGGTGCAGGGGTCTGGGGCAGGTGAAAGGTGTGGGGCACTTGAGGGCTCCCCCCAGTAGCAGGTTAGACCCGGGGCCAGGAGTTTTGCTCTGGGCTGCAGTCACACCTCAGCCCTGTCCCCTCCTTTCAGGTCCTCCCAGGCCGGGACCCGCCCCCTTGTCCCTGCACCTGACCCAGCAGAGCCAGGCTCGGAACCAGGGACTCCCAAGACACCGGGTGGCCCCGCGACGCCTAGCGGGGCTGTGAGATGATGCTGTGGGGAGAACCGGATGAGCCCAGCACAGATCAGCCACCAGGCCCGGGCCCCATGGGCTGCCCCTGACCTTAGCAGTGGGGTAGAAAAGCAGGGGGAGGCAGGGCAGCTGCATGAGCTGGCTGAGAGCCTGAGCAGGCTGCCGGCCCTCAGCTCTTGGGCAGGCCTGCAAACCTCTCCCCATGGGGCAGCTTGGGAAGCAAGGGAGAGAGCAGCAGGCCAGGCCCCCCCCCAGCTGTAGGTTCCTCCCCACAGCTGGTAGGATAGGTGTGAATCCCATGGCACACACCAACACAAGGCACACACCAACACAAGTCGGAGGTAGAAGCCAACCCTCAGCTGCCCCCTTGTGGGGGAACACGTGGTGCCCATTACAAGGCCATTCCTTGTCCCTCAGCCAACCAGTGCCCCTGCCCTGGGGCCAGATCATTCAGTGGCCTTTGAGAGAGGAAAGGCCTCATGCCCCAATCCCCACTCCTTTCCCTGCACCTTGATGCCCTGCATTCCTCGCTGGGGTGCTCAGTGCTGGGAGGGTCAAACCAATGGATGGGATTTGGGGTAACCTTTAAAAATACCTTTAAAAATAGTGCTAGTGTGGTAAACAGGGTTCCCAGTTTTTCCTCACCCCTGCTCCCTCACCTTTGTGCTCGGGGTGATCCAGGAGCAGGTTTTGTAGGAGGAAGACCAATTTCACCTTAAGCTTCTGCACAGGGCTCTGCATCGCCCGCATTAGCACAGAGAAGCCAAGCTAAGGGTTTGGGTGCAAATCCTAGTAGGTAAATTAATGGAGTCAATGGACATGGCCATCAGCCACTGGGGGGATGAGTATTCCAGCACTTAGAGCAGTGGGGGCTGGAAGCAGGATGCCTGGGTTCTCTCTCAACTCTGGGAGGGGAGTGGGTCCTGGGGGGTTAAAGCAGAGGAGCTGGGAGCCAGGACTCCTGGGTTCTCTCCTTCCCCTCCAAGAGGTGACACAAACATATATTGAATACATGACACACGTACACAGAGACACTCACATCACAGACCCACAGACACGTGCCCATCTCGCACACAAACACACGCACGCTCCACACACTTGCCCCCGTTTCAGCCCCTGTGCTGGGGCTGCCCAGCATTCGTGCTGTGGGAGGCTGCCCCCAAAGGCACACCTCAGCCCTGCTGGGTTCCTTGTGTGGAGGGGACCTGCAGAGACGGGAGAGCTGATCTGGATGTCCTTGATGCAGCTGATGTGCCTGAGTCTGCTGGGAGCGTGCGCCTGTGGCTTGGAGAGGCATGAACCATGCATAAGTAACACCGATTGCAATGGGGAAGCTGATCGCGCGGGGGTGGGGGGGTGGGCAGTGGCTGAAGCCAACAGCTGACTCTTCGAGCTTAGCATGGGAGATGATGCTGGGGGCAAGTCACCCTTGGGCCCCCAGGGCATCTAGGTCATAGAATCATAGAGTCATAGAAGTAGGGTCGGAAGGGACCTTGTAGATCTTCAAGTCTGACACCCTGCCTGAGCAGGAGGAAAACTGGGCTCAAGTGACCCCAGCCAGGTAGGCATCAAGTCGCTTCTTAAAGACCCCCAGGGTAGGAGCCAGCACCACTTCCCTTGGAAGTTGGTTCCAGATCCTAGCCGCCCTAACTGTGAAGTAGTTCTTACGGATGTCTAATCTAAACCTACTCTCCAACAACTTGTGGCCGTTATTCCTCGTTATCCCGGGGGGCGCTAGGGGAAACAAGGTCTCCCCCAACCTCTTCTGGTCCCCCCTAGTGAGTTTATAGAGGGTCACAATGTCCCCCTCAGCCTTCTCTTGTGAAGGCTGAACAGGTTCAGGTCCCGTAGCCTCTCATTGTAGGGTCTGCCCTGCTGTCCCCGGATCATGCGTGTGGCCCTCCTCTGGACCCTCTCAATGTTGTCCACATCCCTCTTGAAGTGGGGTGCCCAGAACTGGACACAGTACTCCAGCTGTGGCCTGACCAGTGTCGCGTAGAGGGGGAGGATCACCTCCTTGGCCCTACTTGAGATGCACCTGTGGATGCACAATAAGGTCTGGTTAGTCCTGCCGACCATGACCTCACACTGTCGGCCCATGTTCATCTTGGAGTCAATAATGACTCTAAGATCCCTTTCTGCCTCTGTGCTCTCAAGACAGGAGTTTCCCATCTTATAAGTGTGCTGCTGGTTACTACTGCCCAAGTGCAGCACCCTGCACTTGTCAGTATTGAAACGCATTCTGTTTTTGTTAGCCCACCCCTGCAACCTATCCAGGTCTTTCTGCAGTCTTTCCCTCCCTACTAGC